AATTTGCTTGAACAAAGTTACATCGATTTTTTCTTCCTCTCCATTCTTTTCCAATTTCACATTTGGTTCGACAGGTGAGGATACAGGATTCGAATCATCTGTTCTGAATCTCTTGAATATTTATTTGACATACTTCTTTTTATGTAGCACCGTACCTTGCTTCGACATTTCAAATTACATGCCTAGGCAATAAGACAATTTTCCCAGATCCGACATTTCAAATTCCTTCATCATCAGTTCTTTAAATTTCGACAAGCTCTCCAAACTGTTTCCAGTTATTAGCAAGTCATCGACATATAAACAGATGATTGTTATATCTTGTGCTACAACCTGAAGATAGACACCATACTCAGATTTACATTTGATAAATCCCAATTCGACTAAGTATGAATCGATCTTCTTGTTCCATACTCTAGGTGCTTGCTTGAGATCATAGAGCACTTTGTACAACTTATATACTTTACTCGCTTCCTTCTGAATCACAAACCCTAGAGGTTGTGTGACATAGACCTCTTCGTCTAAAGGACCATTCAGAAATGATGATTTCACATCTAAATGAAATATCGACCAGCTTTGGTTGCATGCCAATGCTACCACTAGTCGAACAGTCTCTAATCTTGCTACTGGAGTAAATACTTCAGAGTAGTCGAGTCTTGCTCTTTGAAGAAAACCTTAAGCTACTAATCTTGCTTTATGTCTTGCTATCAAACCATCAACATTGTGTTTCAACTTGAACATCCACTTCACTTCGATAACTTTTATATATGTTGACAATTCAACTAACTGACATGTATTGTTTCTTTCTATTGTATGTAACTCTTTGACCATATCTAACTTCCACTATTTAATTTTTCAAAGCTTCGTTATGGTTGATTGGTTCAGCACCTGCAAGTAAAGCAAAATGAATTAATTATTCATCTGGTGTGACTTCATCATCACCTACTACCTCATAATCACAAAGTCTTGTTCGAAGAACACTATTTCTTTGAGGTCTTTGGCTTGTTTCAGCCACAACCTCTTCAACTTCGATTGTTTCTGGAATGTCAACAATTGCTTCTACTTCGACTTCGACTGGATTCTCAGCAATTCCTTCGACTTCGACTTCATCAGTTTCTTCGTCAAAATTGAAGCTCATCAATGTCTTGTTAATTGAATCACTAGAATTCCAATCCCAGGCAGAATTTCCATCAATCACAATATCTCGACTTAACACAAACTTCTCATTAATTGGATTGAATAGTATGTATGCATCAGTCTTGTGATATCCTACAAGAATCATATGTTCACTCTTGTCATCGAGCTTCCTTCTTCTCACATCAGGAACATGTTTGTAACATATTGAGCCAAACACCTTAAAATGACTCATTAATGGTCGTATGACACTCCATACTTCTTCAGGAATCTTGTTCTTCAATATTTTGGTAGGACACCTGTTCAGGATATAAATTACAGTTGAAACAGCTTCACCCCATAAACATTTTGGCAAATTCTTTTGCTTCAGCATGCATCTCACCATATCCAATATGGTTATGTTTCTTCTTTCTGCAATTTCATTATGTTTAGGCGTATAAGGAGCAGTTACCTCATGATCAACCATGTTTTGTATATAATTTTTCAAACATCTTCGAAGTGTATTCGCCACCTCCATCTGTTCTCAGAATTTTGATCCTCTTCTCACTTTGATTTTCGACAAGCATCTTGAATCTCTTAAAGATATCAAATATTTCGTCTTTTCTCTTGATCACATAGACCACAACTTTGTACCAATGCTCCTAGTAAACTCCCCCCAACAAGGAGGTGGAGCATTGTGGACTCACACTTGAGAGAGTGTTAGAATAATAATACAAGTGTAAGTAAATGGAGAAATAGTCTCACATTAGATAGGAATGTGGAGACTTAGAGCATATATAAGTGAGAAAATTCATTCACCTATCACCTTAAAGTTTTAGGTGGTAAGTGGTATATCTATCACAAAAGTGCATAATCATCAACTTTGTATCAATGTTCCTAGTGAACTCCATCCAACAACTACAATGTGTCTACGAAAATATCATAACAAATCTCAAGCTAAAATATTTGAACAATTTTACAACTATTTCTTATTTTGATATTGTAATAAAGGCTCCCAAGGGATTTCAAACCTGGGACATCTTACCTATAAGACTAATACCTTTTCACCAAACCACTTATGTTACTTGTTAAATATTTGCCATGCATTTGAATATATTGAATGTTAACTTTAAATATTTTAGTGTAGTAGTAGCAATGTTAACTATTAAATATTGACTTATTATAGTCTTTAATTCTGTAATAATAATAATAATAATGTTAATAGATGAAATATTTAATAAATTAAAATAAATAATTCTACTATTAATATTTTAACTATAAATATTTTAATTATTAAAACAAAATATTTTAATTATATTTAACATTATTATTTAATTATATTTAGCATTACTATTATAAAATGAAATTAAATTAAAATTAAAATATAATATAATTTAATTAACAATATACAGTAAAATATGTTATATATGAAATAATCATTTAATAATATTTCAACTATTTAATATTTCTACTAATAATATTTCAACTATTAATGTTTCTACTAATAATATTTCAACTATTAATATTTCAACTTTTTAGCTTATTAAATATTTAACCTATTAATGTTTCAACCATAAATAAATTGTTAGAAGTTTCAACTATATTTAATAATTATTTAATCTTTGATCAAATAAGTAATCATTAATAGTAAAATATTAATTAATTTATTAACAATTAATAATTTAAATATTAAATAAATTAATAAATATTAACAATTGAAATATTAAATAGTTAAAATGATTATTATAATATAATATGAAATGATTATTATGAAATGAAATTATGAAAATAAAATATAATTATTAAAATGAAATATATTATGAAATGTTAAGAAATTTATTAAATACTGAAACTTATATGGAATATATATATTATTCATTGTAACAAATAAACAAAAGCTAAGCTTGGTCCGGTGCATAGGGATTATTGTGTGATTGCAAAGGAAATGGGTTCAGCACTTGATACTCCTAATTAGGGATGGTAAAAAAATCCGTATCCGCGGATAAAATCCGTTACGCATATGAAATGGATAACTTAATGAATATCCGTAGATAAAATAAACGGATATTTAGATACCCGCTATTTAATGGATATGGATACAGATTTAATAATATTCGTATCCGTTAATTAATTATAAAAAATTATTTAAATATTTATATATTTTACTAAGTCTTATCATCTTCTAAAAGAATTTAATTTTTTTTTTTTACGTTTTCTTTAAAAAAAATTATATTCCATAAATTTTTGTTACAATGATTACTTATAAAAAATTAGTTTATTTTTGAAGTAAGACTTGTTTTGGTTATAACATTGGAGATGCAATCCTTGTACTGCCTTTTTATGATTTATTACAAGTTAATGTTAAATTTTGGATTAATTTTGCCTTTTTATGATTTATTACAAGTTAATGTTAAATTTTGGATTAATTTTTAGACTATTGTACCTTTTTATAGCATAGTTAGTGTTAACACTTAGAAAAATTATAATTATTTAGAATTTGAATATCAATTTCGTACTGCAAGTTTTGTTTAACTATAACAATTCATTGCTTCTTAAAAAAATTATAATCACTTAGAGTTTAACTTATTCTTTTTCTTTTTTCAGGTTATACAAAATCAAAAGCCAAAGTCATTGAAATTAATTTAGTATTGAAAGATATGGATCATGACATTGTTAGTGAAATGTTAAAGATTTCATTTTAAATATTATTATTATGTTAATTATTTAGATTTTTATGATTTTATTTCAGGAGCTAGGAAATCAAAGTGGAATTGTTGAAACAAGGAATGCATAATATGAAATTTTACAATGATTGATCTGCATCATTACTTTTTATTTTGTTTGGAACAATTATTATATGCTATGATGAATATTGTTTTGGTAAAAAATTATGGATATTCTATACGAATGTTATTATGTTTTGGTAAAAAAGACAAATATTAATATGATAAAATTTTGTTATTAAATTGTGACTAAATTGTATAAATCTTATATGATAATAATTTTTTTGTGTCTTTAAAAAAAACTGAAAAAATATTTTTTTTAAAAATAATTTTAAAATAAAATGTTATCCACGGATATCTGTAAATATCCGCGAGTATCTTAAAACCCGTGGATTACCCGCTTAATAGATATCCGCATGGATATGAGATGGATATAGATATCATATTTATCCAACGGAATGGACACGGATATCATATTATCCATCCCCATGGATATCCATTTACATCCCTACTCCTAATAAACACATACGAAGAATATAATAATTTTGTAACCTACATTCATGGAGAACATTATACATTTAATTTCTAAATTTTAATAACTTACAATCGTTGAGAGACGTATTCTCCATATTTTTTCTTTTTCTTATGAACACGGGTATAAACATCTCTAAACGAAACTTTATGTTTCAACTCCTCCTGCAATTCACATTTAAAAGGTGAGTGAAAGAAAAAAGTCAAAGACATGAAACCAATCATGTGTTATATAGTACTTTACATAATAGTTATCTCAAATAAACAATATTGCTAACAATAACAAAACCCTTCATAAACCACAATTTACACCATATTTATCTCAAACAAACAATACTTTAGACAATATCCATCTTTGATATAATTTGATCACTTTAGTTGTATCACCTAATTCACATAGCATCTCATTACACCAAAAATCAAATAATGCAATATAAAAATCTAATACCGATTTGCCCCTTCACTGCTTTTTTTCCGATCCAAAGCCAATTTTCCGATAGTAATCTTACACAAAAACAAGAATGGTATTAAATATCCGAATCTCGTCCCACTAATATACCTCGCAAAGGTGAAGGGTGAAGTTGATTGTGACCACTCCCTTGACTCCGTCTAGTTCCTCTACCTCGGATTGTCATATTAAGATATCTAAAAAAAAATTGATCTTACTATTGTTAACAAGTGAAAAAAGTTAATATGAAAACATGAATTTGATGAAAAATAAATATAACATGAAACAACAAATAGTTACACCAGTAAATCAACAATTGCACAAAGACAAATAATTACACAATATGAATATAGAGAAAAATTAGCTCCTCTCTTAATATCATTAAATTATTCTAAATCAAAATATGAAAAATGAAGAAAACTAATTGAGTAAAATAATTTCAATCTATTGGCCACAAAAAGAAACATAAGGCACTGTAACTGTATAATAGTAGAAAACAATAGAATAAATCGACCATACAATTAACCCTCTTATTTGAAAAGGGTAAACTTACAAACTACTATTTGAATATGAGTCATATGATTCTTCATCTTCATCTAAGAATTCTTCATTTTCACTAGAATGATTCTCATTTATGAATTTATTAGTAAATGGAACTTTTGTTGGCATATACATCATTTATGTCCACTTCTTCCATTGGGGAATTGGTATCAAATAAGAAAATGTCTTCCTCTTTTATGACAACGTTGTTTGCTTCAAAGGATCCATCATCTTGGTAATAATCATGAGCATCCATTTTACAAAGAGGATATCAAATACTAAAATCATTTGTTTGTTCAATTAGTTATATTTTTAGTTGATTATCAAAAGTTACTTTTATATTTCTCTTACATGTAGAGGACTCGAAATTGATTCATACATACACACACAATATTAAATTCGGCAGTCTCCTAGTCTCCTACTAACTGTGTTATTGAGATTAAAAAAATTATGCTAACATCTAAGACATTATTATGATGTAAAATGTTATTTTATAACTAAAGTAAGTGTACCCTTTTGTACTGAAAGAAATCAAGAATAGTAAGCTTATTGACTATGTTCCAAAAATTATTTCTCTAAAATAATTTCATAAGGTTCGGTAAACTTGAACTCTGTTACTTGAAGTTTTAACTATAGAAAACCTCATAGTGAATTTAACAACCTTTACTAGTCCAAAAGTGCAATATCACATTAGAAACCGTTGAGAGTAAAAGGAATCTTCCACCTTACAATACAACAAAAGTTCATATGATTCCATAGTATCATAAAATTATCTATTTGGACTTGGGATCTATTTCAAGACTATATATATTTTGGATGAACTTTCAAATTCTCAAGACTATAGCTATATACACACACACTAAAATAGCTTATACACACATTATAATAGCTAGCATAGACACAACATACAACTATTCTATAGCATGGAAAGTTCTTTGTCACGCCTGTTTACATTTGAATTCTCATTTCTCACTTAGAAGTGTTATAATTCAGGTTTTGAATCCATAGTAAAAATGATTTAGCATTGATAAAGTAGTTTATCTTTCCAAAAAGAGGAAAAATTTTGTGGTTCTGCTTCTTTATTATCAGTAAATAATATCACAATTCACAAGTTCAACATTTACATATTTGCATCTAAGCAACATGAGAATATTCATACATCTATTGACATTATAGCATTCATATGGAGAAATTAATGATAATTACATCTGAAAAAATTTAAAATCAACATCAACTAACCTTAAAATCAATCGGAGAAAATGTACCGTAGCGAAGATCGGAAAGAGATTCCGCAACAAGGATCTGTTATGACAGAAATCGTGTGAAACGGAGAAAGAGATTCTTCACATAAATTTTACTACATTGAATGAGTGATTTTGTGAGAATTTATTCAAGAAAAAACAATTACCTCAAGTATTAGGTTTTGAGAAATCCGTGAGCGATTTCGAATGGTAAAGTAACTAATTCGAAAGTTGAAGCAGCGATTTCCAACGAAGAGAACGTTGAAGCAGAGATTTCCAACGGTGAAAGAGAAGTAGAAATTTCGATCGATGAAGGGGAAGCCGCGATTTTGATCGATGACGGAGAAATAGGGATAACAATCGATGACTGAGAAATTGTGATTTCAATTGATGAAGGAGAAGCGGCGGTTTCGATGACGGAGAAACAGCGATTTTGATCGGAGAAATAGCGACTTTGATGAAGAAAAATGATTCTGCGGTGGAGAAAAAGTGATTTTACAGTGAAAAGTGATTTCGATTGATGAAGTTACAGTGAAAAGTGATTTCGATTGATGAAGGAAAAGTGATTCGGTGAAAAGGGTTTTACGTGAGTTTTTCGTTGAGGTTTTTTTTCTGTTAAAAGTAATTTTTTTAAAGTGAATAATATATTTAAAAAAATTACTGTACTAATGTTATTTAATGTTTTTCATTTTCACTTGAGTTGTGTAAGTATTTTATGTGAGTATTTTCAAAGGCCAAACAGTGGTTGTTTCATTAAATCATGTTAAGAAACAAAATGATAACAACGTATTATTTGGGAAAAATCTACAGACTTGAGAGGGATTTATTTTCATGAGTAACATTGGAATTAAAATTGGTCAGCATGCAAAGACAATTTTATTCTCACATTCATTCTCAATATTATAACATTTGCCTAACATAAATTCATTACTTCCATGAAAGAAAAAGCCAGCATCAATAACTTGTTCTGGACTGGGCTCGACAGGCCCAAAAGCATTACTAAGACCCAGTCCAAAGGGACTCTCTAAGGACCACACTGGGCAAAGGGGGTCACGTCCATGCCCGACACCATGATGTCCACCTCGACATCCCGATGTCCAACCCACGCGGTGAAGTCGTGCTCGACACCCTGCCGTCAGCTCCATGTCCTGGCGTCCAGCTCGACACCCGCCGTCCAGCTCGAGGTCCTGACGTCGAGCTCAGCACCGTACTGCCCAGCTCGACATGGGCCCGAGCTACCCGGCTAGGGCAGACTCAGTCCACCGTTCCCCCAACGATACTCCGGAAAGACCGCGTCTCCGTCCGCCCGCACTTCACGCAGCACATCCAGGAAGGGGACCACGTGCGGGTCCCCACTACCCACGTAGAACCTGGCAGTTCCTCCATTGGGCCAAATCCGCCCAGCCCAACGAAGGAACCTTGGCCCAGCGCTGGGGGCTATAAATACCCTCTGTTTCCAGAGGGTCAGGTATTCATCATTCTAACCTCAACTCTATTATCTGCTCGTACTCCCACTGACTTTAGCATCGGAGTGCCTTGCAGGTACCCCCCCCCCCCCCCCCTCCTCGCTCAAAAAGCTTTCAGCTTGGAGCAAGCCGTGACGGTCCAAACCTTCTGATCAGGTCAGATCAGTGGCGCCGTCTGTGGGAAGCAGCTTCCCCGTCTAACGAACAATTCCAAAGACCAAAGCTCAATTCAATTACCTGTCATGGCTGATCCAGCTCGTGAAGAACAGCACACCCGCGTCACCGACACCAACAACGGTCCCGCGGACAAGAATGGACACCTCGACAATCTCGGTGATCCCGGCCGCAATGCCACCCCTGCGACAACCGCCCCTGGACCTTCCACCCGCAGGGACGGGAACACTGCGTCTTCCTCGACGACCCCTCCAGCACTCGAAGACGACCCGGAAGCTCTCGCCTACCGCCGAGCTGCCCGGTTCTATGAAGTCCAAGTCCCTGCCGGGGCAGATGCCACGACTCAGGCACTGTTCGCGGCCATCAACCAAACAAATTATCTTCTATTTACCCAAGGAGAAAGACTAAGGGCACTTGAAAATGATCGACGACCACCGAGGAGGCATCAGAGGCCACCATCTCCACCTCCTCGGGTCGAAGAAGTTCGACACCCTACTCCCCCGCGGAGACATTACAGGGAGAACTCTAGGAGCCCCTCTCCCCCACCAAGGCAGAGGCGGCCCCAATATGAAAGACAGCCCGTCATCCCTACCGAAGAACCCAGTCGCGACCCATCAAGGCACAACAGGAGGCACAACAGAGACGGGCGTGTGACCTTCAACCATCGAGCATCACGCTCGAGGGAATCTCAGCACGACCATCGTGCCCGACATAACTACAGGACCCCTTCTCTTTCCCCAGAAAGGAGCGACGAGGACGACCCCCGCGGTCCCCTGTCGCAGGCCATCATGGACGCACCTATTCCCCCGGGCATGGAGAAGCCCCCACATCTGAAGGAGTATGATGGAGTAGCGGACCCAGTCGACCACATTGACGGGTTCGAAGCCATGCTCCACTATCACAATGTCGGAGGGCCCATCAAGTGTCGTCTCTTCCCCACAACTCTCAGGAAGGCGGCCATGGACTGGTATAAAAGACTCGCCCCGGGCTCCATCACCTCGTGGCGGAACCTGAAGAACCAGTTCATCAGTTCCTTCACAGCTTCTCGGCGCCACCCGAAGACCGAGGCAGCCCTCGAGGCCATCATCCAAAGACATGATGAGATTCTTCATTGACTCTGCCAATCTTTTACACACAACCAAAGCTCTTCATTATTTAAAAACTTAGGTTTCACGACTGAAACCCTAAGTTCTTCAAAGCTTAGCCTCTAACTCAAGTACCTGCAAAGAGAAAGAAGAGGGAGATTAGAAGAGAAGATTAGAGAACTGGAAGAGAAAATTATATGAAAAGAATCATTATGTTGACGGTAAGCCTAATGACTTAGCTTAGGGTTATAATTGTGGAATTTTTGAATGATTGGCGTCTGATTTTGTGGTTTCTGGAAAAATAGGGTTAGGGTTCATATTAGGTTTTTCTAAAGGGTTAGGGTAAGAAATTGTTATGGTTCATGTTTAAGTTTAGGGTTCTTAGACACTAGGGTTAAGGTTCATCAAGTTTACGTTTTTTGGGTTTGGTTTGGGGTTACTGGGTTGTTAGGGTTCTTCGTAAGGGTTAGGGTTCTTCACAAACCCTTAGGGTTCATAGGGTTTGTTGTTGTTCTGGGTTGGATTGGATGAAGATCTTAAAGATCATGGTTGGGGGTATGAACCTAGACGGTGTCGAAGGTTGAAGGTATGACTTCTCAGGTTGAAGATCAATCAAGAACTAGGTTTCATGGTGTTTTAGACAATGGCTCAAAGCAGCCCAAGGCGGCGCCGCTGGCCAAGGCGATTTCCGATTGTTGGAATTCTAGAGAGAAGGCATAGTCTCTCTCTCTCTAGAATTATACTAAGGTTTTGTGTTATTTGTGAAGAGAGTGGAGGAAAAGAAAAAATGATCCAAGAGCTCATCATCTTCTTTATATAACCCCCCTCCCCCTATCGTTGATGTGCACCACGTAACTCCTGGAGAGCTTCAGGATGAGGAGACCATTCACTGGTCTTCTGCTCTCATGTCCACCATGCTCCTTAGTCAACATTTAATCTTGTCTCTCCATTCTGATTATCGGTAAATCAACACCCTAGGACTAGATCTTGAAGGTTGTTGGGTTGTATATAACGCGCCAGATTTTGTTGCCACACGATAACGCCATGCACCCTCCCTCACGATGTTCAAACGGACCCAGAGTTTGTTTCGGCTCCTATGCAAAATCCTGAGCTCAAGCCCTTTCTAACCACACCCCCTAATTTACCTCATCAATTATAATTCTTACCCCCTTGTGCAATTGAACTTAAACAAATTTGCTTGGGCTTAGGAATTGCTATTCAGAGCACATTGATTTTACTACGGAACATAAAACACACCCCTCTCTGTTTTGATTAAAGATTTTTTTATTTAATTTATTTAATTTTATTTATTTGTTTTATTTATTTATTTGTTTAATTTATAATTATCAATTTATTTCTCATATCCTCTTTTTCATCATTGCATTAAAATATTATTTTTTTTGCATTTTATCATAAAATCATTAATAAACAAATATTAAAAAAATTTAATATATTTGTAATAATAAGAAAATAATTTTTTATTAATTATTTTTAAATACTAACCACATTTTCTATCAATATTCAAATATTTTTATCGTTCAAACTTTTTTTCCTCAAATTGCATCATGCATTCTAAGACAGCTAACCAATCAAATTTAACACTTTTTCTATCAACTTAATTTCAAATTAAATTTTATTTTCAAAAAGGATTGTGGAAATATTTTATATTAACTACAAACTGCGTCTACGACTACACTATTTTCAAACTTAGACAAGGGTAAATGCGAATTCAAAATATTTCCATAATCCATAAAAAAATAAACCAAACACATACGAACTACAAATTTGGACTCTGATTCTTCGCAAGGAGATACGTAGGTACGCGGTTAAAACCAAGGTGAGTTCACAACTAAAAAAATTAAATCTTTTTCTTAAACATATAGAAACATTTACTACCAAATTCCCATCTTACCCTTAGACCTAGAAGTGAAGCCCCTTGAGAACAATGGAGATGAAGGGTGCCTAACATCTTCCCTTCGTCTAATTGACTTGCGAATTTAGAATCCCTATACGAATTAGGGTTATCTGTTATTTCCTCACCCTTAAGGTAAAAATTAATGGTGGCGACTCTCGTATTTTTTGCCGGTTATGACAGGAATTGAGTGTCAAATGCATTTGAAAGAGAATTGAAGAAGAAATGTTTAGAATTTGATTTGTTTTAGGAAGTTGATGCTTTGAGAACTTGACATAATGTATTGTTCTGCTTTTCTTATTTATAACTTTTGTATTCAAGTTTATAACATAAACACATAACAAATCTAAACAAAAGCAGATAAATTAACAAAAGAGTCAAATGGTCTGACGGTAAAGCACTTCACTATCTATGAAAGTGACACTGCCAAAATATCTTTTTGGTCTCGCATATTAATTTCAAGGTTTATTTTGGTCTCTGAACTTAAAAAAAGATTCATATTGGTCTCTTAACTCTTCAAAACGTTTCATTTTAGTTCTTTTTATCTAATTAGTGAGGAATTTAACGACCTTCTGAGTTTTTCCGTCATTAATTAGACAAAAAAAAAGACTAAAATGAAGCGTTTTGAAGAGTTAAGAGACCAATATGAACATTTTTTAAGTTAAGAGATCAAAATATATCTTGACGTTAACATACGAGACCAAAACAAATATTTTTTTTTCATTTCTCCTTTTAGTTATTATTATTAAATTTAAATTTATTAATATTTTATTTTTCATAAAATTTCTCTCATTTTATTATTCAAACTATAAAAAAAATTTGCTCTTGTTGTTTCACTTCCTTTTGAAAAATTCTTAGGTAGACACAACTAAAACACATGGCTTTACAAACAACCAATTATAATATTTTGTTAATTAAAAAATAAATAAATAATTTTTTCTCTCCTTCCATATCATAACCACCCTCATAAATTCAATTAAAACAGAAATTTAACTTTAAATAAATTTTAAATTCTCTTTCTCTTTATTGGTTATTTTTTAAAAATATAGATATAGAACGGTTTTCACGTAAGGTTCTTCCTTCCTTTAATGGTTTGGAGAAGAAAATTTTATTGGTAGGTGATGTTGGATGTGTGTATGTGTAATTGCAAAAAAATGAAGAAAAAAATTCTAATTCTATTAATTTTTTTGAAAATTGTGTAAATTACTGTAGTATTAATTACTGTAATATTTTATTTTTTAAAAAAAATGTGAAAGTGATAGTCGTTATAACGTCATTATCTACAATAACAAAAATTATCATTGTGTGACGGTGAATATGAAATCATTTTAAATTTTAAACTTTGAAAAATCTCATTTTCTTTATTTTTTAGTTAATTGTAAAAAATAATTAAAAAAAATGAATTTGTAATTAGACATGAAAATATTTGTCAACTATTAAATAGTTACCATAATTAATTATATTTAACTAATTTATTTTCTTTTCTCCATAATATTACTAATACTAACATTCAATTTTAAATACATATTATATTAGTACAAGTGGGTTGACAGCATAAATTGACATTATCTATTAATTAATTAATTAATTAATTAATTAATTAATTAATACAAGTTTGTACTATGAATTAAAATATTTAAACGTTATTAAGTTTAAATTTCAGGATTTGTTGTTATCTTTTACCTAAAAAATAGATTTGATTTATAAAAATCTTTTTTCTCTATAGTTTGTTAGATGCCTATTGTGTGGGCATCTTTTTCGCCATTATCATTAAATGAGTCAAGTTTAAGATTTATTTTTGTTTTTAAAATATCAATTTTCAAGGCTTTTATTTTTACTATATAAATAAAGTAAACTGTTTTAGCAACTAAATAAATCTCACAATACAAACACAATAGCTTCATCCATGGAACTCAACTTTTCTCTAAATATGTTTTCTACTCAAGATCAAACCATTACAACTCCACCCGATGATTTTTCAAGTGGTGATTTTTACATTCATTTTCATTTGATCAATGTAAATTTGCCCTCTCAAACTAATGTTACAAATTCAATCGATGACTTTACAACCAC